TAACGCCAGGAAAGCTTAAAACATGCGTCAGTAAAACTCCAACTACCCAGATAAGAAGATAACGAAGAGTTGTGTGCACGCGTGAACTACTTGTCCGTGTATTCGTCTGTACAACGAAACTATATGCGTGGCCGGGGGACTGTAACGGCGAACGGACATGTTTCGTGAAGCCATGACGGCTGCGCGTTCACTGCATAACCGGATCAGAAACCATGCAATCGTATCTACTTTTCTGCTTACGCTTTAGTTGGGGTGCTTCGCCTACATGCGATCAAGATACAGCACCGACGCACGATTACAAGAACTTTTTTTTTTTCTTCAAACGCTCAACGGTACAAACTCTCGCCACCTTTTTCCTTCATCCCTCGACAAGGCGTCTTCGAGCCGTGAACGAGTAAGTTCACGAGCATCGAAATCGGTCTAATCTCCGCTTTAAATGACTAATATACGCAGGAAAGATATCCTAAGTTTGGAATAATTTGTACCTATTTAATTGGTAACCGAATATATTTACGTAGAAAAGATCGTGTAAGATTGGTAAATACGAAATACGAAAGGTAGTTAAGGAAATTTAGTAGCCGCCTATCTATGCGCATACTAATTCGACAAGTAAATGTATTCGAAAAACAATGGAATTTACATTTTTACTTGTAGGAGCATACATTTTTAATTGGATTGAAATTACTTAACGAATCACATTACACTTACGAAGTTTGCGTTAATATAATATATGTGTACATTTCCTAGATAAGTATATTTATTACGAATAATGTACATCTTTGTATATACACATATTTATTTGATTTTATAGTCTTGCACTTTCGCTAAAATCCTGCATAAATACATACATTAACCAGCAACATTCACTTTTTATCTTTAACTGTGACACATATAAATATAAACGATTTCACATGGACAAGATACAAGTGAGACGTTAGAGTTTCGAGGCAGATATAAATTTAGCGTTGAATCGTTAAGAGATCGGAGACCGTTGATCACGAAACGTAGTGGCACGACGAAGAGGAATTTAATGATAGTCCCCCCCCTTCCCTCGTCGTAATAATTCCTCTCATTTTTCCGCGTTAATTCTCATCAGCCGACGTTTTCTACGGATTCGCGTTAAAAGCACGATGCGAGATACCGCGAAACGTGGGAAACCTCTCGCCCGGTTTATTACGATGCTTTTGTAGTCACGCTCGCGGCGGTCAAAGAAATTTTCTTCGAATAGGTTTGCACAGGCTGTGCGACTCGGGTTCCCCGTGTGTATATCACATCGGTCGCGACTGCTACGGCCATAATTTTCTAGCCACCTGTGTGTGCAAGCGATCACGCTGGAATCCAGAGCGTCCGCTTTCTAAAAACCGTAAGTAATGCAAGAGCACGGAAGATCGTTCGATCGATTAAAGCGGTCGAACGAGAAGGTGCCGGGGAAGCTTCGTGTTTCTTTGCTTCGTGGATCGCTTCGTGATCGCGAGCTCGCGCGCGCGTATTGCCTTCGATAATTGATTAATGGAAATAAAGGAGAATGTATGAGACACAATGAAGGTGAACTAGAAGGAATAAACGGTTAGCTCCGGAATGCGCGGCATAATGTAAGCAATTACATCGTTTCTTCGTTTTTAGATCGCGACTGCCGATACCCAGGCCTACCGAGGAACTTGATGTGTTTTTAACGAGAATAAAATGGTAGCGAGATAGCGTAATAATTAATTGTTCGGTTATCTCGAATTTTATACGACACTGTCTTCGTTTCACTCGTCGAATATCGTCTTTAATGGATCGGAATACGATGGTAATTACTGCGTGGCATCCTTTTCTCTATTATTTGAACTTCAACTTGGATCTTTAATGCCTGGGAAAACGTACAATATTGATATCCGATGGAAATAGTGGCACATTAAAATAACATATCCCGGTCTGTTTTTAGATCACTATTGGTGAAACGTCGCTGAAAGTTATCGATCGAATTCGGCCCTCATTTTTACCCTCACTTTACGGTACTACTATGAAAAAGGAAATACGATGTTGAACTTTTCTTTTCTACCAGTTTTGTAATCGTGGGCATTCGGTACGAGTAGAAACTCGAAGCTTGAGCGATAATAAAAGGCTAAATGGCGTTGCAACGTGCGGAAGACTCGCCTTTAATCATCCATCGACGCGCTTGCAAACGTACTTTTCCCTGGTTGTTGACGGAATGCGTGCGCGAAATATAATTCCCGGCTCGAGGTGGCACGTCGCACGCGTATTATTACGTGTACGGCATCGACGTGTCTAATTACCTTCGATTCAATTTCGAAATTACGTTTCGATGGGAATTAATCTGCCTACATTCTTCCCTCACGAAAACACATTAGGAAAGCATTTAAAAAGAAAAAATTAGATACACACAATGGAATCTCTGTTATCAGAACATCGATTAGTAATCGATTAATGAGAAATTTACGAATAATCTACCTCGTACTTTACATCTAACGAGGAGAAAACAAATATAAGAAACTAGTAGATTATTCGAATAATTCAATGGTAGAATTCATTATCCTCAGCGAGTACGATCGTACGTACACATTATAATACCTAACAAAATAAACAAGAAAATAATTCCTAGGAACGAATCTTATTCTTAGTTGCGTTCACAAAAAGTATGAGTTTGTCACCCAGTCATGATTAGTTTGAATAGTCCATTATACGGAATTCCATTCTACATGAACTAAAGTATATGTATTTTACAACGATCGCGAAATATATTTTGGAAGGATGGCCTCTGTTTCGCTCATGTACGACGCACGAACATCCGTACAATTAATTATTGACCCGTTTTAATCGCGTTAGGTCTAATTAGTGGGGAGAGGGAGTCTCAAAGTTGTTAATTAAATTGGTTAATGCGATAAAGGAGACCATAGCGGAGTTCTCTTCGTTCCCTTTCTCTTCTCGTCTCTTTCGTTCCCCTTCTATTTCATGTCGGACTCCGTTCGTGTCTTTGTGTACCGCCCGCGCTATACTGCACCGCGAAGCGGAGAGAGATACTTTCAGCCACGGCGATTATTTCAATTATAGCGTGCAGCCTCAGGATCGCGAAACCCTTCTTCGTTGGTGTGTATATTCACGGTTTTGGAGCGAATAGCCGGCGTGACGAGTAAATGGACGCTCGCTTTTGCGAATGTTTATACCGCCCGATACGCTGTATCGTAATCCCATTCAGCACAGGCAGCTATAATAAGAGTTTTTCAATCGAACGTGAATTGTCAGAGTGTTCTATAATTCTCTTATATCCGTATCTTTTATTATCTGACGCGAATTTCGTGAAATTTCTGACCGTTTCTAGATAGTACTCTGGGAGTAATTGCTTTTAAAATAGAATTTTCTTTAATGACTAACTGCGTGCGTTTATTGGCAAGCTTCTGTTTACGAAAGTCGCGTTATGACTAAGTCTCTGTCGTGTTTAGATATTTCTGGCCTGTGTTTATGCTTTAATAACGATATTATCCGTTTATCATAGCTTTAATTATTTTCTACTTGGCATAAATAAAAAAGGCGTAGCTGTATCAAAGTTCGATTTTAATTCTGAATTTAACTTTAAATTATGAGAGTGTAGATGGTTGAATTTAAATTGAACAGAATATTTCAATATTCTTCTTCAGATGTCAATGTCAAGATAGTAGTAAGCAGCTAAGTACACTATAGTAAAGTAACACTATAACTACCGATGATTATAGTATACAATGTGTATTTTAATAAAAATCATTACAATAAAAAATCATTCAAATTCACAAAAGTGGAGTGTTGTATATTTATAAAAGATAGTCTCAGAATTAACATCTCTCCAAGTTTCGCAAACTTAGATCCGCATCACTTTACAGCCTATAAAACATCCTCGAACTTCGAGAAACCTGCAGTCGAAAAATATCTCAGAAATCGATACGGCACAATTTTTCGGGGCAAATCAGTCTCGTCAGCCGGTCGCGGTTACTCCTTTCACGCGGCGAAATATTCGAAAGTAAAGAGAGAAAGAGAACGAGAAAAAAAAGAAGAAAATTCAACAGCGTCGAGTTTCAACCGGTCAACACACCGGTCGATATTACAAAACCTGGAACGATTATAACTCGCAACGGGTAAATCGATAGTGGCGATCGACAATAATAAATATTCTCGTGGTTCCCCCCTGCGCTTTTAGCGTATCACTGATTCGAAACGCATCGTGTCTCGATAATCGAACCGGTGAGATATTCCAGTTTATGCATACCGGCCATTCTCGTTCATTCCTCTCGCGTTCTTGCGAATCCGTCGTTGTACGACACCTTTGGCCGCGAATCGTGTCGCCTCGAAATAACCGATGGTGGCGTTAGCGTTGGCAAGCTCTGGTAGTCATTAATTATAATTAATATCGATGCCGATAATGGCAAGCGCACCGTCGCCTCGCCGATCCGTATATTGCCGGGACATAGATCGGCGAGAACGCCTCTAACGTGTAAGTGCGCGCTATATATGTCCATATAAATTTCCATCTTCCATCGAGGATGATCGTTCCTGTTATACAGCCACGTTTATACAAGTGGTCAATTTGTAGGTTAGTTTGCTTGTTGGCTGCGACTATTAAAAAACAGAAGAATATAAACGACGAAGATGCACCACATAACGATAGAGGAAGAGAAAGAGAGAGCTAATGTGCACGGTATAGCCCATCCGAGTCGTTAAAAGCTACACGAAAGGTATCGTCGACGTGGATTAAATGTTGCTCGTTATACGTGTCGTGGTTGTAAATCGTCGTTGTAAATCAATTGACCAGACTTGGTCGGACTGAACGACCTGATAAATAGGATTAACTGATTTACATGAACGAGATTCGTCCGGGCAGCATCGATCATAATCAACGCTCTCGATAGCGTAATCTAGAATTCATTTTCGTCAGCCATATAAGATTTCTTCCGACTCAACGGTCTTTTTTCTTTTTCTTTTTTTTTTTTTTTTTGTTTTCTTCTTTTCCTCACTTGTTCGCTCTATAGGCGAATCCATGTCAGCATCCGATTGTGATCCTGAGGGACGTTGCCTCGTCCGATATGGAGTCGTTGCTGCGCTTCATGTACCACGGCGAGGTTCACGTGGGACAGGAGCAGCTGGCTGCCTTCCTCAAGACGGCGCAGATGCTTCAGGTTCGGGGGTTGGCCGATGTGAACAGCGGTGCTGCCACAGCGAAAATTCCACCTCCTTCGTCGTCTGGTGGAAATAACGGTAGTGCACCGGTAAATATGAATTTTAATCTTTGAAATATTAAACTTAGTTTTAAATCGACTATCTAGTGTAATAACTGAGGGATATTTGATTTTCTCAGGCGACACCACGCAATCCGTGGCAAGATAACGGCAGGGGAGAATTGAACGAGGGTGCTTTGAGTCCTCCACCAGAGAAGAGACCTAGAAGTTATAGTCCACCGTTGGGTAACCACGTGGAGCAGAAAACTGACCTGCAGGAATCACTTCTGGGACAGGCCCTGGAAGGAGGACCCACGATACACACGACACCTACAAATAATGTACAGGTAGGAAGGAATTGTAGCGGCACAAGAGTTAGAATTTGCTTCAAACTATGCTGTTGTTTTGCTTCGGAGTATCAAGACCGTTAGGTCACAGGTATTGTAAGGAGTTATGAACTCCGGGCAAAACAACGGCGCCGCTACAGGTAACCGTAAAACGATACGAATTTGAATCTTTTAACTTTCTTCTGACGATTATAAATAAATCACGAATGTGATCGCAAGCGATTTAGTATAAACTGTGACTAAAGGACTAAGTATAGATATCGTTTCGCGACAAGATCTGTTTTAAATAGACTAACGAATACACATTTTGGTAAACTCATTATTCGATCCCCTGCAGAATGTTACCTTGATTGGATCAATCCTTTTACAGTTTTACAGTGTTTAAAAATCTGCGAGTTAAGTTTTTTGAAAATATGTAGTCTGTAAATTACAAAATACGTGATTTGTTCTTTTCGATTTGTTAGTGCAATTTTCACGTATTTGTATATGATCCAATAATACAACCGTGTTTGTGATACCACTTTATTATACTGTCAGAAGATTAATAGTCTTAAATGAGATTTATGAAGACTGGATAAGAAAAGTGGAATTATTATTGGTTACAGACGCAGTCTACCGGCGAAGAATCAAACTCAATGTCAGATGAAGAGGAGATGTCGAATAACGAGAGTATTCTGAATTCCGTGAAGACGGAACCAAGCGACATTTTAAATGATTCTATAGAACACCATCGTAATTCGTTTCCTACGGCGCTCTTGGGAATACCAGGTAATTCAACCGAAATCAATTCAACTTTTTTTGCTCTTTATAATGATTTCTAATTGACGGCCAAAGAATAATAGCGCTGTAAGTCGAGATTTTGAAAATTCAAATTCAATGTTAGTTGTGTTGTAATTTTATTCTCTGTCTGTGCGTTTTAACGACGTGAAAAAGCATAAGTAATTTTTTATGGTAGTACACGCAGAACATTATTTTATGAAAACTTGCAGTAGACTGACTTACACAACTACGACTCTCAGTCAACTAATCGAGATAGAAATGAAATGACGCCGAGTCGATTGACGTTAATTTCCTGCTTAGAGTTGACGGATGGTGTAAGACAATTGTGTGATTATGATCGTAATTGATAATTACAGGACTGATACCGGGGCCATCCGGGATCCACGCGGCGAATCAGGATCCGAATTACGGTAAGTGATCAGAGTCAACGATTCGATTTTACAGTTTATTACGATTTCGTAGCCCAAGACTATAGTATCCTCCCGTCGATTCCCTCAAGACTCTGGTCTCTCGTTGTTGCGTTGAATGCATGGAACTCTCGTACCTCTCACAACCCTGCATCCCCTTGCCCAACTTAACCCTTTTTGAAAAAAGAAAAAAATATAATAAGAAAGAATAATAATAACGATAAAAGAATAATACAGAAACATGGCGAGTAACAGCGTTATCGTGGAGCTACGTCTCCGACGGCTCTTCGAGTTCGTTTACCGGAATAATATCGATTTTCCTCCGCAAAAAATGGTCTGCGGTCGTTAGAAACGGAATTGTTAGGGTTGCCATGCAAAGTCAAGCTCGACTCTTTTTAATCTCGAATTCTTTAAAACGACCCTTCTTCGAGGCTTACTAAAGCTAATTGGTCGGTCGAGGCGAGGTATGAATTCAATCGACTGTTAAAACTGTTTATGGATAAAAGAGAGGGTGGAGGTGTGGAAATGGCAATGAAGAAGGACAAAGTACACACGTTACCACATTCAGCAAACAGATAAAAATCTGATCGAAATAAAATTGATACCTGTGATATCTTGAGATTAAAAGAGTGAAAAATACATTTACAAAAAAAAAGTAGAATGTAATCTACGATTGGATCATAGATATTCAGGGAAGTAAAAAAAACACACACACGGATTCGGGGGCGGGAAACAGTGTGACAGGAATGACAAAAAAAAAAAAAAAAAAAAAAAAAAAGAAGTAAAACAAAAAATGTTAAAAAAAAAGAGATAAATGAACGGAACGGGAAACGAAGGGCTGTGGGAGAACGGAAAAAAATTGAATAGTGTTTAAGGGATCGTACGAGGTTGGCTGAGGACTGACATTGGCTGGTGGTTCCAGGGCGATGGCAGCCCTCTGGAGGAGACGGTTCAAGCTCGAGTTCCGGTTGGTTGCCGGGTACGTCCTCCGCGAGGAACGACCACACCGGGTCTGGAACTTACCAGAGCGGAGTGCACAACTCGAAAGGTCAGGACCTGTCTTCTCTGCTCCAGCAGCATCATCATCACCATCAGCTCCACGCCACCAGCCAAGCGTCGCAGCAACACGCCCTAAATGCCTTGAACTCGCTCAACTCCCTGAACAGCCTGAATACCGAGCAACTGACGATGATGCATCAGAAGCTGCAGAACAATCTTCAAACGTTGCAGCAACAGCAACAAACGGCCAGCGCGAAAAACGAGCTCAATCTGATGCTTCAATCGTGCACCAAGGAGAAGATTCAAGAGAGCATGGCGTTGTTCCATCAACAGACTCATCGTCGGTTTCACCAGCAACAGCATCATCAAACCGACAACACGAGCCAATCTGGAAAACCAAAGTGTCCGGAGTGCGGGAAGATCTATTCGAACAATTCGAACCTCAAGCAACACATCGTGAACGTGCACACAGTTCAAACCGAGTACGTCTCCTGTCACGTGTGCAACAAGCAGTTCAAGACGAAACAATACCTCCAGATACACCTTCTGTCGATGCATGGTATCCGGAAACGGAAAAGTTACCCGTTGTATCAGATGCAGACGCAGATACAACAGCAACAATCGTCAGGTGGCCAAGTGTCTGGCGGCCAGCAATCGCAGCAACAATATGCGGCACCGGAAAGATGGTCGAACGAGGACAAACAGTGATCGGAACGCGTGTCTTGCGTATCGTTGATCGATCAAAGAATTGACGAGACACGCGTGTTTCCCTTGGACGATGTTTAGGGCTGAAAAGAGAGGGGTCGATGAGAGTGGATGCTGGCAATCTGTATAGTTGACCCTAAGGAACTTTGACGAATAGCTGGGAATATTCCCGAGTAAGACAACTATGACCTCGCAATAATACTCGTAGTAGATGTACATATACACTATTGTAAAACTGCATAGGGAAGTTAAGTGTTTGTTCTTCGCGTAGAACATCCGTAGATAGATAGTTTTTCTCTTTTCTCTCTTCAATTTTTTTTTTTTTTTATTCATTTCTACCGATAGTTAGAACAAAAGAACGGAGGTGGCGATAGGCAGAAGGAGGGCGAAAGAGGGTGCTGATACGAGGATTGGCCGACCTATTTTCGTATTGTACCGCAGTGCGCAGCCAATCCTTCCAGGCAGCGATAAGTAAGCGCCCGCGATTGGCCGACAGAGACTTCTTGAAATTCTCGCCCGTATTCTTATCGGCATAAATAGTAGCGGACGAAGAAAGAAGGATGCGTCAGCCTCGTTTCGCGAAAAGAGAGAGAGTCATTCACGGGAAAAACGTCGATAGAACTGTATTCACCACTTTTGAGGATTCACGGCCTTTAAGAGGAACCGAGCGAATAGAGAATTCTAAAGAAATAGCTGAACCGGTGAAAATAACGTTTCTAATAGAACCGAATCTTATCGTGAATATTTCTCTTCTTTCCTCTCCCTTTTTTTTATTTGTTTTTCTTTTGAAATGAATCACATTTTTTTCTCTCTTTTTAACCGCTGATAAATTCTTTCGCTTGTGTCAGTGTGCAATTAGATTGACCGAATTACGACGGTGTATCTTTATAGGAAAAGAAAAGAAGAAATGGAGCGAATTATTTCCGACCGTGGCGTTAAAACGAACCGAATTCAGGGCGTAATATTCGCTTGTCTTTTAACGTATGTCTCTGCACAGGGTGCTTTTAAAATATTGACACGCGTGGCTAAAACCGGTAGCCAGAAATGCAGCGTCCCATTTACTCTCTGTCGCTTCCTCATCTTGACGCGTCACAGTTCGCCCTGCAATCGTATGTAAATGTGTGTCCGCTTGTGTACGTCTCTCCCTGTGTGCATTTTCAGAGGCACGAACGAAACGAGGCTCGGTACCACACATACGTACACACGTCGAATGCCCGCGCACATTTAGGCTCACGGAATTACGAGGCAGAAAGAGATAGACTGGCTTGTATTGATCTCGAGGATTCAACAAACAGCACCTACTGCCTCCCGCTCCTTCCTCTCTAACTTTACCTTACTCTTCACCCTCGACCTCACCCTATCTCTCGTTTCGTTTTCCACGTGTTCCATAGGATTCAACTTGTCTCTCGGACAGAGTTTGATGAGCCCCTCCTTCTCGATAGTTTCTGAGCCAGCTTGTTAGCAGACGTTTGCTTCAATTCTCCTCATTTTCCACGCGAATTAGATCTGACACGGTGAATTTCAAGTTCGTTTATTCAAATTGCATTTTTACGATCGGTCACTTTCAGTTCTACTCGAGATAGCAGATAGCAGATATGTATATAAGAGTTTATTTTGTATTTTCTAAACTTAAACTGCAATATCACGCGAAAAAGGCTTTGCATTACGGTATATGTGATATCAGGCCGATCTATACCATTCACGGATCGAATCGTTAACAGTGTAAGTGTGTTGTCAGCGTCGAGCCATTGGATCAGGGTTTTTCGAGGGTGAGGAGAAGAAAGTTGCACAGGACACGCGATACAAGACCCTAGTGAGCGTGGGCCACGCGATGCTAGCACACGATCAGCCTATCACCCCTATTGCGAACCCCTGGCAAAACAAACCCTGCCGGCTTATCCAATTCCACGGCATTTCCACGAATCTCTTCCATCTCCTGTCTGTGCTACCCAACCCTGACGCTCGTAGTTCCGACGTAAATGGAGGAGGAGACTCGCATTTGTTCCAGCCACCCTCTCGCTTTCTCTCTTCGTTCATTCTAACCCTTCCTCCCACCCTTCGTTTTTGCCTGCGCCTTCTCCGTTTTTACCTTCAACCCGCAATCCCTGCCATTCAAGCGGTCGGTTAGATCGTCTTGTTCTTATTTTTTGGAGTGAAACTACGTCACCTTTGAGAGCCAGTGAGCATCTAAAAGCATTCGCCGCTTTGGTTTCAACCGACACCACGAGGAAATGGTTCTACTTCCTGCTGTCGTTAAAGATGATGGCTCGCTAGCATATGTCTTTCTTCCATTTTTGCTTGTTTCTTCGTTTTTTTTTTCTTTTTAATCTTACGTGCAATTAGTTTCGAGTGTCATCATCATCCTAAGTTTAACGATTGTCCTCGGTCAGGGGTATTTTGGATTTCAAACAAATGGGTTCAGGAAGAGTTTTTTTTTGAATTTTTGCATCTGTCGCTGCTTTTTGAAATATTTAGAGTCAAACAATTTGTAGATTTAACAAATTTGAATTCCTAGACATTCGGGTGAACATCGCAATTCCATCGAACAGAAATTTTTTTACATTGTTCACAAGTTTCTTAATGCTAGAATCACCGAAGGTGGAAGTATAAAATTGATAGCATAGAAATGAAAATAGAAGCTTTGAAGCAAAGCTTTATTCATATTCATTATCCAAAAACTCATTGAAATGCCCAAAAGTGCATCGTTATAAATCCACAGGTCTATAGAATTAGTTTGGTGATTTTACTGTTAAATAAATAATACTTTTCGCAATCCTCAATCACCACTCGAAACGCTCGAAAGGCTTTTTTCCGCTTTTTCTCCAATTTTCTCGCCATTACACGGGAAATCTCCACGTAAGCTGGTGAAATCGGCTCTCCATTCGCCGCTTCACAGATTACAGTCATCTATCACCCGGATTCGATCCGGATAACCTAACCGTCCGTTTCGGACTTCGCTAGATTCTTATCAACTTGATAAGTTTGTCTGATAAAAACGGCGTGTCTCTTCTATCGTCTAACCGACGTTCCTCGCCGTGTACGTAATATCTTTCGACATACATGGGGTGAATATTGGGAAGAACAACTGTGAGAGAAACTGCAGGGAAAGTATGAAAGTGATCGCGTGATTATCGTAAAGAATGAACGAAAGATCGGTTGTGTCACGCGCGTCACGTAGTTGAGGAGGACCACCGAAAAGAATAAGTTTTCCCGTCTTTAATTCCACACGCCTGCGTCTCGCATCTTACTTCTCCCTTGCTCGCTTGACGCAGAATACTGATTCTTCTCTTGGCCGAGAA